GGGCCTGGAGGGAGGTGCGCACTCCCGTCTCCTGGCCCCTCGCAGGGTGGCTGCTGCTGGCCTGGTCTGGGGGTGGGCAGCCCTGCACAGGGGCCCAGCGGGGCTGGGGGGGCCCCGTGCCCACAGGCTGCTGCTGGCCTGGTCTGGGGGTGGGCAGCCCTGCACAGGGGCCCAGCGGGGCTGGAGCAGCCCTGTGCCCAAGGGCAGGGGGCTGCTTCTGGGTATCGGAAAACTGTTACCCAGTAAGCATCACATATTAAGAGTGATGCTGATTGGGTAACTGGTTAACTGGTTACCCATTTACATCCCTAATCGCATGAGTCATCAAGGGATTATAGTGCGAAGACAGTGGGACCAATATTTTGATAGTTTTTCTGTTGCTTGTTCACTTCTGACTGTGCAGTTATGTTATGGTAAACTCTAAGCCTTGCATTATTTGTTACTCATTAAAGCAGGAAACAGATATTCCTACTTTTAACTTTTTTCACCCTTCTTGTCCCTTGCTGTGTTTCTCTCTTGATTTGTTGCTAATCAGCCCTTGACCTTGATCTTGTTGATGTTCGATCTCTCTGAATGAATTTTTTTGGAAGACAGATTTGGTTCTCAGCTGAGGACTGCACTGCTCATGTCCAGCTGTCCAGGTTTGATTTTTCTCCCGTCCATGTGATGGAGGGGTGGTTGTTTCATGGTGCCCTGCTCTTCAGTTTTCACCAGTTGACCCACAGCGTTGGAGTTCTGCATGCAAACATGTAAAATGCCCTTTCTGTTAGAAATAGTGACATGCCTGAATCAGATCCCTAGGTCTGACCCCTGGATCTGAACTTCGTGGCAATTTACATCTGGATCCACTTATGGACCTGAACTTCTTTTCTTGTGCTTACTTCGATAGGGGGGGTCTGAAAACCCTCGAAGTTAGGGCTTGGTTTATAAGTGCCTACTCCTGGGGGAATTTTGCGCCAAAAAATTAAGTCCTTTGTCAAAAAGGGATGTAAGTGGCTAGTTGACTAGTCGACTATCCAACAAGCAAAGCTTATCAGATAGTCGAGTAGTGACTCGTTGCTTCCCCCTCTTGCTGCCTCCATTTCCGTGGGGGAAGCAGGGGTGCAGCAGTGAAATGGTGGGAGTGGGGATTGAAGCAGTTCCTGCTTGCACTGGTTCCGAGCAGGGGTGCAGCGGTGAAATAGTGTGAGCGGGGATCGAAGCAGTTCCTGCTTGCACCAGTTCCCACTGCGGCGCTTCAGCCTTTGAAATGTACAAGAGCCCGGCGGGGCTGCAGTGGGAACATGTGGCCACCGGGGACTGCTTTAGTCCCTGCTGGCTCCATTGCTACCTCTATCAGAGGTAGCAAGAGGCGGGGGGGATTAGGAGCCAGTGCTGGGGGGAGCCGACTTAAAAGCCAGTTCCCTCAGTACCATCTCCAGGGTGCCTCCTGCTCCCCCCTGCTGCCTGTACCGGAGGCATCAGGGTGGAGGGATAGGGGAGGCTGCTGCAATGCAGCCCCTGTCCTCAGGGTCCCAGTGGGGAGCTGGGTCCTCCCGCGGACAGGGGATGCTGATGCCAAGCAGCCCCTGTGTGCAGCAGCAAGGGCCGCTGTGACCAGAGGCTGCTTCAGCACCAGCCCGTGTTTGCAGCAGAAAGGGCTGTCCACCCGGAACAGGGGTTGCTGGACTCAGCACCGAGCTGATCTCTGCCCCTCTGCATTGTAAATGTCGTAAGAGCCCGGGGCACTTTTTGCATTGCGGGTGGCGCACTGTTTCAAAATTCTGCATATTGGATTTGTTGGGGTAACACTCCACAGTCAGGCCAGTTTCCCTTATTATGGGGATTTGTTTTAGCAAACATACCTGTCAGCATGTATATCTGTAACAGGACAGACACACAGCAATTCCCCCAGGAGTAGAGAGTTAAAGAACCCCCTATGACAACCCACTTCCTGTTTGTCTGCCTCCCAAAAGCCCAGCAGGGGAGGGGGCAGATACCCATAACACCTGCCCATGAACCCGACATGCCCCCCACATGTTCCCATGCCCCAGCCAATACACCCGAACCCCCTCTAGCCCAAGCCCAGCTATGGGGACCCCCAGCCCGGATATCTGCACCCCAGTTGCCCCCCAGAGCCCAGTCAGGCCCCGCCTGCCAGTCCAGACACCTGTCCCCCTCCTGCCCAGTGATCCAGAAAGAGAAACAGCCTATTGCTGGCTCCCAGACCTGTGTACAGGGATCTGCAGCTGCTAAGAATTCTCTGCTCCCTGCTCCTTCCCCACCTGTAGTGTCTTCTGTGTGCCAGCTGCGTTCTGCTTGGTCCAGGTGCCTCTAGAGGCAGCCAGCTGCACTGCAACCCATTTCTGGTGGCAAGGGAGGGGGGAGGGGATTGGGCACACAAACCATTAATTTCTGCAAAATTCTGCATTGCGCAGACTTCCCCCCCGGAAGTAGACTACCCAAAATAGCCCCGCTCCCTCCGTGCAGCCAGGCTAAGCGGCATGGCTGAGCATTCTCAGCAAAAGACTTTTGACTAAAATTCTCTTCTTTATGGAAAAGTTCTGCAGATCTTAATAAGGCTGAGATCGGTAGGGTTACACTATCTAATTAAAGGAGCTAAGAATATCAAAGACTTTCGATAGGCTTTTAGCCATCCTAGAGAATGCTGTTGCAGGGCTATCCTTCTCGGTTACGTCTTATAAGGCAGTTAAAGTTGCTAGGCAAATCTGATTTTCTTTCATTTTGGAGGACGATAAGAACGGTCACACTGTGTCAGACCAAGGCATATTGAAAAATCTGATTTTCTTTAATTTTGGAGGACGATAAGAACGGCCACACTGTGTCAGACCAAGGCATATTGAGCCCAGTGCCAATGCCCGGCGCCCCAGAGGGAATGACCAGAACAAATAATAATCAAGAGATCCATCCTCTGTCGCGCATCCGCAACTTCTGCCAGACAGAGGCTCCGGACATCACCCTGCTGATGTGTCTGCCTGACTTTGTGCAGCTCTGGGTGTGACATTTCATGTTAATGTCTTGACTAATTTACATACTTGCAGAGAATTTGTCCATAGCCATATATTTCAGTGTATGTGAAACCGCCTGCAGGCAGCACCGAGCCTGGAGCCTCTGGCTCTCAGCTTAAGCTGTAGAGCTCACTCGTTCTGATCTCTTGCCGTAAGTGGTCCGAGGGCCACTACATGGGACAGTGAACCACACCGACTAGGGGTATGTCTAGATTACATGCTTCTGTTGGCAGAGTCATGTAATCCAGACATACCCTAGGTGTGTATGTTCCATATGCTCAACACACCCTGCCCTCTAGCTAGGGGTGTCACAGGGTAACGAGAAGCCTGGGTGTATCGGTTACATTCAGGCTCCTGCCTCTTTCCCGGGAAGCGGGTTGCTGCTTCCTGCTGCGGGCTCTGCATTAGAACACGCAGCCTGGGGCAGCAGCCAGCTCCCTGGGAGCGGGGTTGGCAGCTGGCTCCCTGGGAGCAGGCTGGGAGCCAATATGCACTTGGAGCCAGCTTAAAAGCCAGCTCTCGGCACGCACCGGTTCCTGCAGAGATGGCTGCCACCCCTCGCTACGGGTGTGTGCAACTGCTGACATTTTCAACGGTTACCCAGTTACCTGCTTTTGAACATCCCTACCTCTAGCAGGGCAAAGGATTGGACAGGGGGCTGTAAGGAACTGGACAACTGGCTTGAGGAGGCAGATGGGTGTCTGGCAGTATAGGATCGCATGGGGGGATGCTGAAGGGAGTGTGGGGGTGCTGGGGTATTTGGGATCGCTAGATGCTGTGGTGGAGGGATCGCTGGGGTGAGTGGATGGGGTGTCTGGGAGACAGGTGGGAGAGACCGAGGCTGGTGCTTGCTCCCCATTGCCCTGTCTGTCTGATGCCGCTGTCCCTGCCACCTCTGCGGCCTCCTGTTGGCGCCATCGCCACTTGGCTTAGCACAGGTGTAGCAGCCTGGGAGGCAGAGTGGCTGTCTGCAGCACTGGCCCCGTAGCCTGGAGGCCATGCTGCAGGTCCTGTCTGTAGCCCAGTGTCATGGGAGGCAGCTCAGCCGTGCAGGAGAGAAACACCGGAAGGGCTGCCCCCCGGGAGTGACATGTTGGCTGCCAGGCCTCCGTCTGGGCAGACGTTTGTGTTATGTGCGAAAAGTCCCATCCCTCCTGATTGCCCCCCGTCTTTTCCCAGCAGGGAAGCTGTTGCAGGAGTCGTCTCTGGAGCTGAGCTGCAGCGCTGCCTCCGCGAAGGTGACCCTAGAGCCGAGCCAAGCCGTGGTGTTGGACTGTAACCTGGCTCCCGCCGAGCAGCTCATCAATATCACATGGAGGAAGAACGGGCTTCCATTAGTGGAGCAGGAGCACCTTCACATGCTTCCCAATGGCTCGCTCCTCGTCTCGTCCCTGGCTGCTGCTAAGGAGAGCAAATACCCCGAGAGGCCGGGCACGGATGGTAATTACTCCTGCGTCTCCCAGAGCTCCTTAGGTGCCGTGGCCAGTCAAACGGCCGCAGTTCGATTTTCAAGTAAGTATTTTTCTGATCTTGATACTGACTATTCAGCCCCGACTTCAGAGCTGAGAAAGAATCGTCTGGAAAAGTGCGGTGCCTTGAAACGTCGGCAGACCTCAGAGTGGCCTGTAAAATAAGTTACGACAACGTGTTCTTTTTCTCCCTTCCCAGTTACGTTTTAATTTGCTCTGGAACCTTTCCAGATTCCCTTCCTGATACGTCCCTCCTGTTCTCAGAAAGCCTGCCTTTTCCCTTGGGCATCGCCTTGTCAAGTCCTTTTTGTTTCAGGACATTCGGTCTGTATCCAGCATGCCCTATATTTCTGCACTAGGTTCAGTGAGGGCTAGATCGTTAGGTGGCCTAAATCAGTGGGAGTCAAGGGGGTTACACCTGCTTACACCCTCGAGGATCTGCTAGCGTTCCTTCAGCGACAAAAAGCCGTTCCGTCCTGTGGTAAACTGATGTCCTTCCTCTGTTAGTCAGTCTCTTAATTGGTCGTTTATGCTCCAGTGTTATTACAGAAACTGCGGTGCTGGGTTTTGTGAAGATGAATTATTCTGGGGGGCATATATATCTAATTATCCTGGCACATCCGAGCTGTCCTTTGATTAGCTGTTGGTATTAATTAGTGTTACCCCACCCGTGGCAAGAAGAATAGCTTGAAGCGTGACTTACATGGGACCTGAGTAATGAGATCAGAGGTCAAAATATTTTCTTAGCGTGTCACCATTCAGTTATTTCCATTGGGATCTGGTAGATGATTAGCTCTGCTTTATGCTCATCTCATGTGGGGAAGTGAGAGGTGCTGTAGTCTTTTCTCCTTTTCTTTAGTATTCAGATCGCATGTTAGCACAGAGGAGGGATGGCATGGGGCGGGGGGAAAAGGGAAAACAATACTCAAGAACAATGGATGCTGAAATAGACCCTACTGAGGAACAAGGGGAAAGAAATAATAAGATTGGTGCGTGTCTTTGAATAATGCAAAGGCATCACACATTCTGACTTCTCCTTAAGCTAAAAATTCCATGCCCTCATTGCAGGCCATCTGCTGTGCCATGGTAGGTCCCGTCTCCCTGGGCCATATATAGAGATTTGGGCGCCTGCTACAGCCTTGGTTAAAAAAGCAGAGGCCCTGTTGCACAAACAGTAGAAAACGCCGTATTTAAGATCCAGAAGTCCTTGCTTTGTTCCCCACTTGGGAGAGCAACCCACACAGGTGTGTCGTATTACACAGAACCAGTTCATCTGTTAACTTTTTCTTATTCCATGTTTTCTGTCCTTGATGGTGATGTTATTTTTTTAAAGCTACTGATAGATACATCAGCATAGTCCCCTTGGAGTGTGCCACAGGGTCATTTGTGGAGACTGAAGCACTTTTGGCTCATATAACAGCCCCTCCCCCGCACACACTTTACAAAGCTGTGTTGACTCTTCCCTAGAAAACGGTTCATCTACATGTCTAATAATTCTCTCCTTTTTTTTTTTTGCTATTAGTTTTAGTGTCTTGAGCTAGCTGCGCTTCTAATTCTCTTGGGGTGTGTCTAATTAAACGGGACTGTCTGGCCCCTTCTCCTAACACCGATTTAAGGAACCAGGTGGACATGATCAGCTCCCAAAAGATGCTGAGATACAGCCACATAAAGAGCAGCAGGTGAAGAGGTGCACGATGAACGTCAGGGTTGGATTTGGTCTATATTTAAAGCAGGGCCTCCATCAACAGAGCTGTGTGAAAGATATACTACAGGGCTAGAGAACTTCCGGGCAGTGGATACACATGGTGCGTGTCTGTGTTGCCAGAGATTGAATTGGAGATCACCTGAGCTAAAAGCACATGTGTCTACTGCTTGAGCTAAAGAGAGCCATGCTCTCTAGTTGGGAGATGCAGCCGTGGTATGCTCCGTGAATAGGTCTGAGAGAGGGCACGTTGTACACTGTCTCTGTGTGGGCTGAGAGGAAGGCACGGGTGAGCTAAAGCGAGGTGAAGATCCTAAGACCCAAGGGCTGCATGCGGCCCCCTGGCTTGCACATCACTGAGGGTTTTTTGTTTTGTTTTGTTTTGTTGCTTCTCACTTGTGTCCGGCCTCTGGCTGATTTTTCTGGGCTCCTGGCCTAAAAAAGTTTCCCCACCGCTAAACTAAAGACTAATGAATGGATATGAAACAGAAAGATAAACCACAATGGGATGGAGCCTCTCAAGACAAGAGGGGAAGAACAATTCTGTGAGATCCTGGCATAGCTGGTAGCTACAAAATTTCAGAGAGCTAAAGATTCGGCAGCACCATTTCATTGCCAGGAGCCAGATTATGCACTGGGGTCCCACCTGAAGAATGGATACTTGCCCTACCGACCTCTCCTTTCTCCCCAGAAAGAGCGTTGGCTGCTTCGGTTCTGCTCAGACCTGGAGGATTACGCTCTCTAGGCTGGGCCAGTGCACACGCATGCCATGTCCACCCCTCAGAGAGCCAGGGGATGCAGTGGGGACTGTATTCACCCTTGTAGTCCCTGTATTCACTCTGTTTTGTATTCACTCTGTTTGCTCTGTTGTGTTGTATGTGATTGTGCTGTGCTGTGCTGTGCTGTAGTAACTGTGTGTGTGTGTCTGTGTGTGTGTCTGTGTGTGTGTGCGTGCCTGCCTGCCTCAGTTTCCATGGGCACTCCAACACTATCTGGATGAGGAGGGGAATGCTGAGCAGGACTCACTGTGGAAGTATGTTCAGTCTCTCACGTCCTCAGGACCAGGTGACAGCAGATAACACCTTGGGGCCAGGAAACTGGACAGAGGAGGGGGAGGGGCTGCCTAGAGGGCTGAGACCAGTTGCTGGGTGTGAGAGTTCAGTTTTTTGGCTGGCTTAGGGAGAAGGGAGTCTAGCTGGCGTGGGGGGCCGGGCAAGGGCCCAGAGCCCTGGCTCTGGCCCCCCTATCCCCAAGATGGATCGTACTGACTGCTCCTGGTACCTGTAACAACAAGTCTGGCTACTCTCTGTTCTACCTGCTGTCTGAGAGTCACATTTGGCTGCGGATGGGGGTGACTCCCATCATACTCCGTGACTCCCCTACACCCCAGTGACTCCCCCATACTCCGTGACAGATGCATGTTGGGAAAGGCCTTTAACGGCAGGGAGCGGGAAGCTGCTTCAGTCAAAAGAGGCTTCTGATGACAAGCAAGATCTTGCACCATGAGTGATTTCATTGTATGACAGAGTTAATACGTAGAAAGGCCTGACCGATAACGTGCTGCGTGGATGGCTGGCTTTAATTTTTTGTCTTTGTTTGTTTTGTGGTACCTTATCTAACGGTTACCTCTTCCACACAGTAAATGAGACATGCTTTGGTAAATAATGGAGAGACGCTAAGTGGCACTTTTGCAAAATGTACAATAAAAATCAATGTCTCTGCCCTGGCTGGGGAGTTTGTTGTAAATTACAGAGCTAACGTTTAAAGAGCAAATAATTTTAAGGACATTGGCAGCTTGAAAATCACGCTTTTCTCCAAATGGTTGAGCTATTGTGGGTTGTAAACTTAGAGAACAATATTTGTGCCTTTCTCTTGAGTAGCTGCTCTCCCCTGTAATTTGTTTTGAACTTTCTCACATACGTCTTCTTCGTAGCATATGTGCAACATGCTTTAGGAGGCACGTGACCGGGATTCATCACCGAATTTGGTCCACTGGTTGGATCATTAGCTTCCCTGGCCCGGGCCAGGTACTGACATGGGACATGACATGAATGTTGATCCTTACCCCCTATCCATTGTAAAAATTGATAGAAAACATAAGAAATAGACATGGTGACACCACAAAGCCCAGCAAGGGGATTCGGGGTGGGAAACACTATCTGCTCTTAAAATGACTTGATTTCAGATTAATAATATTCCTTTGATGTGAGTGTTTGCCTGTTCATTATTATTATTTGTATTTTGGACCACAGTCCCTTTGAGCTACATGTTATACAAACACATAGATAACTTTAAAAAATGTATACCACAAATGACAGAAAACATGTGGTAAGAAATCTTAATGGTTTAATTAACTATATGTAACTGTGTGACATACCTGTGTGGGTTGTCGGCCCAAGTGGGGATCAAGTCAAGGACTTCTGAGTCTTAAATATTGTGTTTTCTACAGTCAGCGATGGAAAGGCCCTGGCTCTTTTAATCAAGACTGTGGCAGGCTCCTTGAGCTCTCAGTGGAAGGCTGCAGCGTGTCACTAGGGATGTAAGTGACTAATCGACTCTCTGATCAGCAAAAGCTTATTGGACGGACGACACACTAGTCGACGAGTCACTTTCTCCCCCCCTTGCTGCAGGCTACCTTGCAGCTCCCTGGGTGGGGGCAGGGGCGCAGTGGTGGCGTTACACCTTCGAAATGTACAAGAGTCCCCTCTGGGACTCTTGTATATTTCAAAACGGCAGCGCCACATGGAGCCTGGAGCCAGCGGGGACTTAAAGTTCCCACTGGCCCCAGGTTCCATACCGCATTTCAATCTTGTACATTTCAAAGGCGGAACACCTTTGAAATGTAGCAACAGTTCTTGCTACGTTTCAAAGTGGAAGCGCCCTTATTGACTAATTGAATAGTCGATGGACATTCCATCGACTGTTTGATTAGCTGCTTAATCTAATTTTAACATCCCTACGTGTCTCACAGAGTAAGCCTTGGTTACATGGGTAAAACTGAAAGGACCCTCTCTAGATGATGCAGTAGATGGATTGATTGACTGAGAGTATTGGATTCTTATAGGGAGGTAGTTCCCTTGCAGGATGTGGCCTGATGCACTAACGGGCTTACTCGTGAACTGTAAAAAGGAAACAAAATAGTAGAAATGTTGAGTGCTGCGGGTTGTAATCTAACTTTTGGTGAATAGGCTTGTATGGGAGGGGTGTGTTTCCCTTTAAAAAGCGAGGCCTTCATTAAGTCAGTGTGTGCAAAAAGCCATCAAAAAGGAGAAAGGGAAGGGGGTTGTTCTAAATGGCATGTTAGACGAATTAGTGAGACCTGACCTTACCAGGAGTCCTGG